CGTAAACAAACTTTGATCATGGATCGGGGGGAAGAGAGCGCGTCGAGGGAAGAGGGCAGAGGGTCCGGAGCTGTGGAGCCACACAAATGCTTTTTTCGGGGCTTTGTTGACTGACCCGCTCACACACACACACAAGTGAGAGTGAGCGGGTCCGTGGGAGTGAGCGTTTTTTTTTTTTGTGCATCAACAAATGACGAGCCCGAGCTTGTGCTCTGTTAAGCATCTTTGGAATTTGGCTCCCTCTCTCTCTCCTCTGTCTCAGTCCCAGCGCTGACCTTTGTGTCTCTGAGGGTTTGAAATGTCCCCTCTTCACGCTCAAGCGTTTCATTGAAAGCTTTCTTTTTTCCACGCTGGACACCTGATTACAATATGTTAGGAGAGCGTTGAAAACCCTCCTCCTGAAGGCCGCATGTGTCGTTTTCTTTGTTTGTTATAGTAAAGTGGCACTTGGATGGTTTTCTAGACGAGTTAGGATATCACCCTGAGAAAACTCGAGCCAGAACTGTGAATGCTTGCTGAGAGGCTTTAGAGACGCACACCTCTCAGCATCATGTTCACATCTTTTCTCTTTAGTATGCACTGCTTTAGAACACAAGGACTGTACGAATTAATGTGCTTTCATAGTATATTCAGTATCGCCCTTTCCCTGTGTCAAGATAAACTGTGCAGCCCCACAAAGTAATTATACTGATGCATTCAGCCCGCTGACAAGGTTTGCTGACTCGATATAAAGTCAGTAAATGTGTTCCATTCATCTACTCATTTTACTTTAGAGCTCCAGCATTTCACTATAGCAAGGAGGCCACCAGAAACGAGCGGCAGCGGATGCAGGTGAGCGTGTGCAGCATCAGAGGGATAGAGAGCCTCACCTGTTGCCTTCGCAACACTTTGATACACTGATGTCAAACTTTCATTGCGCTCGATCAAAGTGAGCAGCTTTTGAAAAAAACCTCATCACTGCCTTGAAAGACGCATAAATCAAGAACAGAGCACTTTTCAATTAGACCATAACTGTTCAAGGTTGGTTGGAAGCTCTGCTTTGATGTGTGTGCGTGCGTGTGCGTGTGTGTGTTGCCTTTCAGGGCCCCATGGTTAGTCGAAGGGCTGGGCTGTAAATCTTGCTGTGTCTCCTGGTTTACTCGGGGCCCATAAAGTAGAAGGCAATTAAGAAAAACAACTGGATGCAAGATTTCTTCAGTCCTGCGAGATTTGTGCTTGCAGAATAAAATGATTTTCACCCTCCCGTCTACCCAAAAGGAATTGCTTTGCCTCACCCACCCTCACCTCAGCCCCCGGCTTCCCATCAAGCATCGATTGGCCTCTCGTGTCTGTGGCAGATACAAGACACAAACAGAGTAAAATACCGTTCCTAAAAATACCGTGTCAGACCTTGGACCGTGGCCATTAGGTTTGTCACACTCGTGATTTATCCCTATGGTGTCAGACACACACACACACACTCAGCATGACCTACACCGACTCATATCCATCATGTCTTACTCTGACCCGAGACACAGACTTCCCGGTCGAACGGCACCACAGCGCTACCAAGTAGTCACATTATATTTCATAATGTTCATCATCATATTTCCTTAGCCTGAGTTCAGCCTGTATTATATTGGCTTATTAAGAGCCGGATGCTTTAGTGCAAAGTTTTACATCGGTATAAATCGTACCTCATGAATATAAACATGAGCAGCTTGGGCTGCTTTGATCTCGGACTGGCTGAGAGCCCTGAGTGGAGTGGGCCGGAGCTGCCGTTGCACAGTTCTCTCTGCCCATTTTAACCATTTTCATAATTGTTATAGCTATCGAGGCCAGCAGTGCAAAGCACTTGATGAATGTGGATTGTATTAGAAGCAAGAGGAGATCCTGGAGTGTCACTGCGGGCGTCTGTGCTCCTACGTAGTATGTGTCTGTGTGACAGCAAGTGAGAGAGAAATTACTGCAAGGTTGCTTGAGTGTCATGAGTGTGTACTAACTGAGAACCGAGTCAGACGGAAGGATGGCCGAGTCATTAATGGGGATGAGCCCCAAGCAGCCAAACACCTGCAAAGCACTCTTGACTAGAGCATCCACCATCCACCCACTTGGTTCAATTAATTTCACTACTGTATAAAAAAAAAAAACAACCTGAAACTAGCTTGACATGTGTAATCAATGCATCCCAGTGACCATTGGTTTCTCAAAAGTTCTGCTATTGCCCTATAGTGTTGCAGGAGCCAGCAAGAACAGGTTTAGCTCATCATGGTGTGTTTAAGGACACTTTTTTATCTGAGGAGTCAACCTGTCAAACACCCTTTCTAATGCAAGAAAAAAACTGCATTCATGTTTGCTTACTGGTGATATTTCAGGTTCGATCTTGTGACAGCATACCTTTCCGGAGTGTTGTTTTGCCAGCCATGTCTCAAATATCAGATGTCTTGGAATGCACGAAGGAGGAAAATGCATGACCACATTTTAATAGCATGTTCTTTGTGATGGATAACCGAATCTAAAGCATTGTTTAAGACTCCGTGGTTTATTTTCCTAAAATAACTGGAGTGCAGACATCCGCCAGGTGAAAATGAGTGAGCGAACCCCCCCAGTCTGGACACCAATGAGCTGTAAGGCGTCACCAAACACAATTCATTCTAACTCAAAAACAAGCTGCGACGTATGCAAGCAATTGTCTCAAAGTCGTCGTATAAGACAAACCTCATACAATACTGCCAAAAGTAAAAATATAACTCGGAAAGAGCACAGTCACTCACGGACGAATGCATACATGTGACCGATCGCATGATCCTCGTGGCGGAGATATTAATAACAAAATGAATCTTCGGATTTGTGGCGGGGTTTGAAGAAAGGTTAACAATAATGCTGGATATTTAAAATTGGTTGTTGAATGGGCTAATACAAGCAGCATGTCCAGTCTGAACCTTTGAACTCTACCTGTTCTAGGAGCGCCACATAAGCTCGAGCACAAAAAGGGAATTTGCCTCCCTCTGGTCCTGTTTATAGTCCGAGAGACCGCAGCGTGTTTTATGGTCTCGAGAATGTTTTATGGCTGCTGGGGGTGTTTATGCACGAGGAGAGAGAGGGTCAGAAGGGTGAAATCAATAGTGAGCCTTAATGAGGTTGTCTGAAAAGAAGAAAGGGAGGGGATGTGTGGGTGATGTGACAGACGATGTTGAAAGAAGATTTTCTGCGTAGAGCTGAAAAGGCTCAAACTCAAATCGACAAAACAATAGTTCCGCTTAGGTAGGTGTCGGGGTAACTTGGCAACTGATTTTAGATTTGTCGAAGTCAAGAGAAACTTGTTTGTCGGCGTCATTTCTTTTCTCTTCAAAATGTTGCCTGCGGTGACGGTGACTGACAGGAAACTTGATCTCACACAGACAGCCATCATATCTGTGGGAAATGTATTAAGGCCATGCTAGACTTATGAAGGCACACTGTGCGATCGGTACATTTGGATACACATGGTGTTCATGAGAGACAGGAAATTATTGCAAACAAAATAAGCTGCTGCAGCAGCATTTGATTCATTGTCCATAATGTCTATTATTGTTACCAAAGCACTTATGTTGAATGTTTTTCACTTTGTTTTTTAAGGAAATGAGCCCTGCTGCTGTAACCTAAATGGATCAGATTTACGAAGCAGGATTTAGATTTGACATACAAAAAATAACAACCTAACCCTCACACATTCATGTGATCCTGTTGTGTTAAAGGAAAGGATAACATGAGCCTCCGAGAGGGAAGCGGATGCTGTAACAACTGCATTATGAAATGGACATTTTCAAATTGGTTTGGGATTTGTCCTCTTTGTAAAGACGTAATATTACATTCACTGCTCTGCTATAATCGGGTCTTTTATGGAGGTTTTTTGTGTGTTTGTTCTGTAGTGAAGCGCTATGCTGTTGTAGGAAGCTGTGTTGTTCTAGCTGTGCTCTGAGACAGCTGTCTGTACGGAGAAACACAGCTGATGAAACGCCCTGTCAGCTTGTGCTCTTCATTCCAGAGATCAACGTCCACTCAGGGCAGTAAAGGGGCAAGAGGTGGACTTTATTTCAGTTACTACAGAGCACGGTCTAGACCTGCTCTATTTGCTTCATTGATTTAAATGTCGGTCGTTCCACCACTTTGGTCCAGACTAAGATAGCTCAACAACTTTTTGCACAAAGATATATGCTCCCCGGAGGTTAAAGCAGAACTTTGGTGATCCCCTGACTTTCCATGAGGTTGACATTTTGTGAGAGTGAAATGTCTTGTTAACCATTGAATGGATTGGCACAGCGGATGAATCGTAATTATTTTGACTTTTACTCTGTTTAGTCCTAATTAGGATATGCTGCTCTATAAATTCATACTAACACGCTAAAATAGCAGATTAACTATGGTAAACAACACTGCATCTGCTAAAAATCAGCATGTTGACCACACAGAGCCACTAGAATGGCTGTAGAGTCTTAGTCGTGTTATAGTTTGTGATTGTGTTCAAAGCCCTAGAGCTGCAATATATAGTCAATTAATTGATATTTGATAATCGATTCATGGTTTTGGGTCATTTAAAAAAAGAAAAGAAGAAAGAATGCCAAAAGAGTGTGCGCGGGTAGATTGGACATACTTATGACAGTCCTGCCACAGATATCATCTTTTTTTATCTGTTTGTTTTTTTGGCAGAGCATTTGATTTACTGGTTGGGATGTTTTTTTAACGAATATAACAAAAATGTTATTGAAGAACATTACCAATCCTTGCTGTAATTGAGGAAATACTCACCAGATCAATCAACAATTGTTCTGTGCAGCCCTATAAAGTCCTGAATGAACATGTAGAAGGCATTCAAAATGTTAAATGTGCTTAAAGCACAGTTTGCCAAGAAGCAGGGAACATCTTACAGAGAGCCTATAATGATATGTTGCCGTCAAGAGCATGGTCATCGTGGTCATCAGCTCATTATTTAATACAAACAGGTCTACCTACTAAACCTTCATTTTTCTCTTTCTTTACAGAGCACCTTACCCCCCCACAGAGCCCTGTAACCAATGGCAACCTCTGTCCAAACTCTTCCTTTGACCCGCGGCCCCAACAAGAACTTCCGTAACCCGTTGCCCGTCTCGTCCCGTTGCGGCATGGGAAGTGTAGGCAGCCTGGTGGAGAGGCCAGATGTGTCTCCGACTAAAGGCAGCCGTGCAGTGCCCCAGGTGAGACCCAAACAGACCAACGGCCTCCTGAAGAAAGGCTTCACCCAAAGGGAGCTCCTCAACTACCTCAACATCACCAGGTGAGTGCTGCTGTAAAGAAGCAGACGCTTTTCATAGAGCATTTCACAAGCTGCACCTGTGGAAGGCGAAGTAGTCTGGACTGGAAGGTACTATAAAACATGACAGGACTTGAGCCCGGTTGACCTACTGTGCTTCCAAACAGAAAAGAGCCCAAAGCGAGCGACGGTAAGAAGGACGTTATCTCTGGCCTCAGCTCTGCCGGTGGCCGTGAGGAGGACGGCTTATACGCCAAGGTCTACCATAAAGACGGCACCGAAGTAGATCTGACAAAGAACTCACTGCCAAGTGGGGGAAAGTATGAAAAGGTGAATATTGTTGTATAAAACCCTGCATAGGGTCAAATCTTTGGGATTATTAAACTCTATTACTATAAGACTAAAATAAATAACTTAAAGAATCTGGGCAATGTTGAAAGTATGACATATTAAAGGTACTTCAAAGTATCCTAAAGCTCATTCACGGTTTCAGGCGCAGATGCAGCTGAATGTCTTCCCATTATGTTCTTTCTATAAATGATATACAGCCAGTGACCGGCTGCTGGAGCTGTGTTAAATTGATTAGTATCACATTTATACATCTCTGGCAGCGTGGCACGACATCCCTCTAGCCTGCTATCAGCATAAATCAGCCCTAAATCTCCTCCAGTGAACCAGTATAGATTGAGATTCTGCCACCTTTTGTGTTGCAGACTTTATTGCAGCAATCAAATCTCACCTCTTTTTTTTTTGTTTGCTTGAATTGATCAACAGTAAGAACACAAAGGGTGGGACAACATTGATTTAATAGAAACATTGTGATTTATTGTTCCGAAGCCCAGCCTCCTTCGCTGTGGGTAAAGTCTCTCTCTCTCCTGTTTACCCTCCACTCTGCTACTTTTTTACCCTCTTTGCATCCTCTAAAAGTCTCCTTGTTCTTCTTCTCCAGGCTCGATTAAGGTCTGCCTTCAAGCCTGTCACCCCCAAAAATTTCAGCTCCATGCAAAACCTCTATCCAGCTTCCAAGTCGGAGGATGTGGACCATGGCCTTTCCAACGGGCTGCACAGAGCCTACGCCCATGTGCCCAAAGCCGTCTCCACCTCTTCCTCCTCTTCCTCACCGTCCCGTCATGGCGGACCGACATCCAGTGGTAACAAGGTATCTTAACACACCATTAATCAATGTCAATGCCCAGGAGGTGGTTAGTCCATTAATTTGGTTGTTTACTTACTAGAATATCTCACACACCTTCTCATAGTTTTCAATTTAACTCGTTTGGAAAGTTGAGCTGCTGGCCAGGGGAACAAGTAAATCAGGTTTTGGATCCAGGATCCAGTCTTTGTGCATTGATCACAGAAGCAAAACAATGAACTTCATGCCATGTGTCATTTCATTCAGCCATTATTTTGGGCTAAAATGAATCTTTTCTCAACCTATTAATGCTACAGTGATGAATAACTGTATAATCCTGACTGTAGGCCCTCTCCTCGGTGCGTGGGACGAGCCAGGAGGATGATAACCTGTCAGACTCAGGCCATAACTCCATGAGCAGCCTGCCACCGTACCGGCCTCCCTTCCGCCCACACCTGTCTCACATCAGGTCTGCCGCACTGTTATTGTCTTGGCTTTACTTTAAATTTAAAAGAAGTGTTGAAATAATTGATTTTTTTTTACTTAATGACTGTGTGGGTGGTGATAATGGAAGAGATTTCAATGGCCTTATGGGTTTCCATTTGTACCCCAGTGCATCTATGGGCCAGATCAACACCATCGGCTCCCTGGACCGTACTTCTCTGGCCCAGAAGGCTGTAGGGCCAGGGGGCGTGGCCACAGGAGATATGGCATGTCGGAGCATGGCAACCCTGAGCCGTCTGGCTCCATATGGAGGGGAGGCTCCACCTCCTTATGAATGGACACTCTCCCTGTCTGTTGAGGAAGTGGTGAGCACTGCACAGATGGATGGATGGATGGATGGGAGGGAGAGGATGAGGATGAGCAGGTCAGAATGATTTACAGACTGGTAAGTCCTTCATGTTGTCTTTTCCAGGTCCGGGATCTGGAGGAGCGCCTGGTGGAGAAAGAACATGAGCTGAAACAGATGAGGAGAAACCTGGATGAGAGTGAGGGTGCCATTGCTCAGGTGAACCATATCTTACTGGTCTGTTCTTCACCATCAATCTATACATCCATCTGCCTCGCTTTTGAAGTTTGACCCATCTGCCCGCCGCATGCAGGTGTTCGAAGGGAAACAGCGTCTGTGGGAGAAGGAGGTGGAGGAGCTGAAACGCCTGTATGCCGCCAAGCTGCGTCAGGTTTCCCAGCATGCCCAGCGTTCCCAGCGCAGCCTGCAGCTGCAGCTGTTCAAGGCCCAGCAGGAGAAGAGCCGACTGCAAGAGGAGCTCGACAGCCTGAATAGGGAAAAGAGTCAGGAGGACGGAGCCATGGCGAAGCGGACCAGTCCCACTCTGGAGGAGACGCAGTGGAAGGTATGGCCCTGAGAGGACACGGGGGAGGACACTTAAAAAGACAGAGAGAAGCACTTAAATAGTAGTAATTACAGGCTACACTGGAGAGAACTGAATTACTTTTCTTGTTTGTCCCATTAAAATGATCACAACCAGTCCATAAAAATGTATGTTTCTCCTGCCCCTGTTCCTTGTTTCCCTCAGGTTTGCCAGAAATCAGGGGAGATCTCCTTGTTGAAGCAGCAGCTGAGGGACTCCCAGGCGGAGGTGACCCAGAAGCTGAGTGAGCTCTTCCAGCTGAAGACGCAGCTCAGGGAGACCCGCACAGATCTGCGCAACAGGGAGGGCCAGATAGATGCTTTAAAGCTAGTTGTGCAGGGGACACAGCGCCGTAGATGCCCCTCTCAGACTGCACACGAGGATGGAAAAGGAGCTGAAGAGAGTCCTCCAGCTGGGGCAACAGGTAGATTTATGCGTCTGTCTCTTACTTGAGTGCACATATCATCACTGGGATGTTTTAACTGTGTGCTTCAATGGTTAAAAGCAATACACGTTGCTTTAGTCATGCTGAGACGCTACAAGGACTATTTGATACAGTATACTTTATCAAACCTACTTAAGCCTGCACATGCCAAGCTGACATTAATGGGAAAAAATTTAAGATAATTACATGCTACACACTGTCTGTTTAATATCACAGCAAATGAGGCATCCAAACTGTGTTTCTTATCCACACGGCTGTATGTGGGTTAGTTTGAGTTATGATGTTATTTGACTAACCAGGTCATGAGTTCTCTGCCGCCAGTGTATTTCATTATACATCCCCTACGGCTCTGCTGGACTGTAGTTGAAGCCATGTGAACCGCTTGCTTACAGGAGGTTGCGGGGGCCCAACAGAGGAGCGTCTGCGCGCAGAGCTCCTGCTGGAGCGACGCCAGAGCGAGGCCCAGGACATGGCTTTCGAGGAAGAGAGGCAGACGTGGCAGACGGAGAAGGACAAGGTCATCCGCTACCAGAAGGAGCTGCAGGCCAGCTACTTAGAGATGTACCACCGCAATGAAGCGCTGGAGAGGGAACTGCACCAGCTGAGGGCGGGCAGAGAGCAAGGAGGAGGAGAGGGAGGAGGAGCAGGGAGCAGAAATGGGACATTGGAAACAGAAGTGCCAGAGCTGAGGAGTGAGAAAGCGGGCGAGAAACAAGACGACAGACCTTCTTCTGGTTTGCCGTGGATAGACAGAATTGAATCATCTGAAATTTGAATGTGACCGACTTACTGGTATTTGCAATGCAAAGTGTTTTCACTCTGAACTATGGTTTCTACTGAAGCCCGTGTCAACTGGAGAAGGAAAAAAACTAGACTTACCACGTTAAAATGATGAGATAGTCAAAATGACTCCATTGTGACCCAAGTCAGATTTATGAAGGATATCAATTAAGAAATTGTGAATAAATGATGAAAGAAATCAGAATGCTTTCTTACACAAAATAATAATAGTCCTTAGTCAAGATTTTGATCTGCTGCGTGAACATGATCAGATACTAAGTTAAAACTCTGGCAAGTGTTTTTATTTTCGTCATTTTTCATCTACTTTTCTTCTTCTCCTGGAGAACATGGGCATCCATAGATTCCTAACCGTTTGCAATTCCCTTGTTGATTGTTAAATGCCCTGATCCTGCAAAGACTGGACCAATAAGATCCTACAGAACACACTACTGCTGAGGGGAGCTGCACAGAGGGACCGTCTGTGCCTCATCTGTCCTTGGCAACCAAACTGTCGCGCTTACCAATTAGGAACTTGTAAATGAGCAAATTGATATCTTGATTGTTACTATTTTGTGTTATATTTTGGTAGTTACTTTTTGGATTGGACTGCTGTATAGTCTTCTTGACGGTAACCAAAGGATTCAAGGGGGTTTAGTGTGGCCCAGTGACATCTCAGCACCTGTTTAGTCTGTGCAGAAGGTTCTGTGCATCTCTGGGTTAAGTATCAAGGATTAAAGCGAACTGGTGCCACGGTACTAATGCTGTGTCTTTGCCATCAAGAAAACTGTGTACCATACTTATAACAACTGGTTCTTTCTCATTCAGTTTCCAGCTCCTGTCAGGTGAGATCTATATACTTTGTGCATAATGTCATTTTGATTTGATTGGCCTTTAGTCGTACTTCAAGCACACTGTTGTCTTAATGGGCATATTTCCACTTCTTTTGATTGCAATGAAAGCGATCAACAGACAGGGATCCTGAACATAACTGCCCTGCTTATTGGTGCACATATCCAGCCAATTACAACTCAATGCATGGCATGGGTGAAGTTGTTCTCTTGTATTGTTTGTTTTTAATATGTGAACATTCAAACGCCAGCTCTCAACCGACCCTTCAACATACTGTGACTCTTGTCTATTTACTGGAATTTAAACTGTACAGTATAGATATACATATATATATATATGTCTGTTTTGGATTCATAATAAACGTTTATGAAGTGGTGTGAAAGCTGTTTGGTTGGTTTGGCCCCCCCGATGTCGTTTTCTTGTGCAAATCAAGGCTGTGAAATGCTTCTCCGTCTACCGTTGCCTGAATTCAACTTTTCAGACTCGCCAAAATGTTCGCGGTGTAACTGATGGCATTCACCCGAGAGCTCAGACGCCTGTCTGCTCTGAAGGGGCTTAAAAATCTCCACAGAGCGTGCCAATATAACCCAAGGACAGGGGCTTTATGGCAGAATGGACAACAGAGCGGTGAAGGCTGCTGGGACTAATGTGGCTTTTAGAGGTTGAGCCTTGAATCCTTATCTCAGCCTCTCTCCCCCCCCCCCCCCCACCCCACCCCACCCAGCCCTCACATACCATCTCCTGCAGCACAGACAGCAGGGAGGTGGAAGGTCAGCTGAGATGGAAACATAGGATCCCTGTTTGCTCAAGAAAATAAGCACTTCTATGGAAACCATCAAATGTGCAAACTAGAACGGAGTTCCAAGGATATCTTGGCAGAGATGAAAGCGTAACACTTGACTTTTTTTTATTATAAATGCGTTGCTTATGGCTATGCATGAGTGAAAGTATATCCATTACATAGTGTGGGATAGCACATGCAAGTCCACAGCGCAGGTTTATTTTCTATACAGGGTCAAAATCTGATCAGCTATGAGCTGTGTCTGACTCACAGGGTCCTTACCTTGGCATTTAAAACATTATATAAACTGGGGCTTAATATAACCGCACAGCCCAGCCGTGGTTCACTGTAGTGGGATGAGAACGGATTCTTACCTCACACGTTATCAGTCTGTAGGAGGACTGCAGTGCTGAATGCCATCAGCGCAGCTTATCTGATGAACTCACACAATTATTCAACATTAATTCATGTAGGAAAGGAAGTGGTTCCTTGTTGTGAAACTCATTCACGTTTAAAACCCTTTAGCTTGAGATCTAATAGACTTCAAAGCTATTTAGTCCGAGTTTGGATAATGCAACAATAGCGCCACCAAGTGGCAAGGAAAGGAAGGCCGCGCAGCTTTAAATCCATGAAGGGAAATAAATGGTCAGTGAGTTATGGTGGGAGCAGGCCACCGTCAAATGCCATTACACGCCTCCAAAACTGACTTGGAGTATAAATTTTTATTTTAATTTCAGATGCAAGTATATGAAACATGTTGGAGGGTAAATATTTACAATAAAAGTTGCATAACACACAAGCAGGAAATGCAAACATTCAACAAAAATGAATACGACATAAGTATACGGAGCGCTAGCGGTCTATCTGAAGGAACACTCGGAGAAGCAACGAATGATTGTCAACCAAAGAAAGGAAAACAGGGAATTCAGCAAAAGTCCACACAAAACATTTCCTAATGAAACCAAGATCAAAATAAAAAAAATCTTGAACTCTGACAATTCAAATAGAGTGTAATGTTGCATCATCAGTGTGAGCTATGCTGGTGCGTTGCTTGCTGAACAAATTCGCCTCACTGGAGTGTGAGGTGACATCACCATTTCCCAGAGGACACGGGTAACTTGCACTTTTATTGTTGATCATCTAAAACATACATGGTACACCCAAATGCCTCAGACCATGTGACACGTTTTCCCCCCCGGTGTATGGTTACACAACACCAGCTGAATAATATATACAAACTCCAATAAACACCCAAACCATGAGCAGCAGTCAAATATGCATCATCTCTGTTCAAGACTCCTTTTTTTTTTTTAATAAATATATATATA